AACCCACCTCTAGGTCAATATTAAATTTAATGAAGATTGTAAATTGGATAAAATAAACAATCCATATATTGTTATTAGTGATAATTAATACAAACATGTTTTTTTAAGGTTGTAAACAGTTTAGAAACAAGTCTATGAGGAGGAAAAATAGAAATTATCTTGTTTTTTCCCCAATTTTTATTCGTGGTTTGTTGACACTTAAATCAAGATAATAATGCTCTTAGCAAAGCAATTACTGTTATGACTGAAAATTCACTGGTTTTTTTCTACAATATTTTAAAGTAGACACTCAGTAATTTACATTAATTTGCTTAATACTATCACTTAAGAACTTGTTATATTTATATATTTAAGATATAGTACGGGCTTATGAATACTTTTGAAATTAAGAACGATTGCACTACTTCTCATACAATCAGTTTTTGTGTGCAAATTGAAAACAACAATTATCACACAACATTTAGAATATTTGGTCGTTAAAACGAAGAAAAAATATATTCTAGGAAAATATCATATTCTAAGTAGAACAGTCACAACAAAAATGATATGAAATGTGTTATACAACGGTAATCAATTCATTGGTTAGGTACACATTGATGTAGTTGGCTTCGAGCTACACTTTATGTATGACGTTTGTAATAACATCTAGTTTTTCAAGCCAAACGTGGCTGAAAATCGGATGCCTTAAGTATTGAACCATTATCATTAGACTAGGTTATACTGTTAGCTAGTAAAGAATCGGAAAGTTTTTATCAAAATGTTAAGTAAAAATAAATGAAACGAATATTAGTGATAGTCAAATTTATGAAGTGACTATCTTTTTAAAAAAGCACACCCCTACATTAGATATATGCTGAAATATAAACATGATAATGCATTACATTTTCTAGATCCTATCATTAGGTGCAATAAAATGGCTGGTTAGAAACATATATTTATCAAAAGGACATGTGAAAAGGTCCATACTTGAACTTCAATAACTTCTGTTCAATAAATCACAAAAAGCTTTAGTTAGAACGCTATTCAACTGTCGAAGATTATAGTCAGAAAATAAAAGTGAAGTGATTGACTGTAGTTGAACGGTTATCCGCAAAAGTCCATAAATAACAAAGTTTGGAAAACCTAGAATGAAGGAAATGTAGTACGTTATGGTGGAGAAAAAGCCTATCGTAAGACTTGAACTCAAACGTGAAGCAATTGAAGAGATTGGTTTTAGATTAAAAGACATAAAAAAGGAGACGTCCATTTACTTGGTTGATCTCTCTGTATCGAATGAAATCTTAATTGTGATAGTCAAATACACACAAATCCTCGCCTTATGTCAACTCCAATTGCGTTTACATATATGTGAAATACATGTACTTCGAAAGAACAGAAGGGAGGGTTAGTGTTTATATATTTCGGCACATTTCGCAGCAGCAGAGATTAAAAGGACAGTATGAAATCGCTATAAAATGGACAGGTTGGATGCAACTAGACGATTCGAACTTCACAGGTGACCTGGCCATCCTATCCTATATACACTAAAAAATGCAGGCCGAGACCACTGCTGCAGCAGCCTCTGCACCAGTAGGCCCCAACATACACAAGGGAAAAAGCAAGATCCTCAAATACAACACTGAAAGCACCAACCCAATCACACTTGATGGAGAATCTCTGGAAGAGATGGAAACGTTCACGTATCTGGACGGCATCATCGATGAACAAGGAGGATCTGATGCAGATGTGAGGGCGAGGACAGCATTTGTCAAGTCGAAGAACATATGGAATTCAAAATAACCGACAACCAATATCCAAGTCACAATCTTCAATACGAACGTCAAAACAGTTCTACTGTGCGAAACTGAAACCTGGATAACAACCTTATAACCATCTTCAGAAACGTACTAGTATTTTTAAACAGTTGTCTACACAGGATACTTGATGTCCGTTGGTCGGATACCATTAGGAACAGCATACTATGGGAGAGAACACACCAGCTTCCAATTGAAGAGGAAATTAAGAAAAGACGTTGGAAGTGGATAGGACACACATTTAGGAAATCATCAAACTGCATCAAGAGGTGAGCGCTAACTTGGAATCCTGAAGAGAGACGGAGAAGACCAAGGAACATACTGTACCGGAAATTGGAAGTAGACACCAAAAGGACGAATAACAACTGGGAAGAACTGAAAAGAATTGTTCAGGATAGAGTTGGATTGAGAATGGTAGTGAGCTGTATATGCTGATCGATGAGGGGCAACAGGCATATTTAAGTAATACAATCGCTAATCATATGCTTGACAACGGACATAATGCTGATATTTTAAAATCTTTCAAGATAAGAAAATTTCTCCTAGACACAGAAAGATTTAATAAGATAAATTCCGTTAGCTTCATTCATAACTTACTCGGGAAACTGAATGGCATACAATAAATCACTTGAAAAGCTGGCGCGATTATACTGTATGGACGACTTTTGAACGACACTAAAGTGAACTTGAATAATTTTAACCACTTACTGGGGTCAAAATATAGCTATACACTAGTGTAAGAATTTAAGATGAAGAGACAAAGTTAAGAGTCAGGGTTGGGAATTACAGTCAGAGTTTTTATCACGAACTTATATTAGCTATCATTGTCAAAATGCTATTAATCCGTATGGATAAATGAATTTCGTGCATAAATTGTAGCCCAGATGTGAAAAGTTTTGTTCAAGTCAACTCAATATCTAGTATCATATGCTGAGTATTTTATCAAAACGCCATTGAATCTGTTGCACAGGAACAGATGAAATTTGACATTATCTTCATTTAAAACATCTGTATTTATTTAAATATTCATTATAGTGAAGAATTTTACTTCAAAATTAATGGAATTAAATGTTGAAATATACTTTACAAAAAACTTTGGTTTATACATTCTAATAATTAATTATTGATAATAATAGTAATAATAATAATAATAATAATAATAATAATAATAATAATAATAATAATAATAATAATAATAATAATAATATGATTCTTTTCTAAATTAATACTGTCAAAAAGTGTTCTAAAATGCAATGATTCCATGAATCATTGGAAATATGGATGTTGATCGTAATTAACTCTACTGCCAAATGTTCAGCACAGAAATTAAAGCAAGCCTTCCAAAAGGTAACCAATACATATCGAAATATCTTGGTCCAAATAAAAGACAAAATACCATATCAACTTAGAAGTTTATAGATTAGGTTGTTTATCAAATATTTGATAGATTTTATAGTAGATTACATTTTGGGATATCATAGTTCGTGCCGGAGAGAACACATGAAATACAAAAAGGACTTGTTATTCCTGTAGAACTTGGAAATGTAAAAGTCAAATCACCAAGATCAATGCATGACACATAGTTGACAGTCATTTAGTCAGTATTAAAATGTTTTCTATAATTTCTTTAAAAAAAACATACCTTTTCCAACTAAAATATCATTGTCATATGTTGTTAAATACTGCTTTGAGCAATAGGAAAAAGGATTCAATCGACAATTTAATCAAATTAGATAATGTATCCAGATCCACATTTGACCTGTTTCAGATAAGACACCACCTATATCACACCTATCTATCTAGGGAAAGTCCTACTCACTGCCTTCTCGTGGCGGGAATGTTGTTTACGAAAATGAGAGGACGAAAAGCGAATGTCCGACGCTTTAACCGGGTCTTAAACCAAATCAATGGGGTGCACATGGGCTCCAGTATCCTGCGGGAACAAATGGCGTATGAACCAATTTTCGGTCACCAGCTACCATGGGACTGCATCTTCTCACGATGCTTCACTGCCTTGTGGGTTAGACCAAAGGCTCGGTGTGTGGCCCCCTAAGATAACCACCTGCTTCGGTTTGGGCACCCGGGCAGTATCGCAGCCCACACACAATTAATGAACTGAACTGTCTATTATCATGCAAATTGATGCTCTTGCTTCGACGAACATTCAAATGATTCAATTATTATTATTATTATTATTATTATTATTATATTATTATTATAATATTATTACTATTATTAGTTACTACGTCATTATTCACCCTCCTTTATTCCTACTCTGTCTATACTTTTTTTTAGACTTATACAGCAGCTCGCCTATGGTGGAAACTCGGTTGTATCTAAACGTTCTCGAGTCACTGTCCGGTTGAAAATTGTATGTTACCACCGAATACGAATACTGAAGCAGTTTTTCTGAAACCACGTGCACCATTCAAACTGGCTGCCTTCAACGTTCGCACACTTATGCAGGTCGGACAACAGATAGGGCTGGCTGGTTAGACAGGGTTGCCCAATCTCACCATTCCTCTTCAACTTTGCCATCGATGACATTCTGGAAACAGCTCTGATGGATGTAAGTAATGGTGGTGTGGATCTGTTGCCTGGAGAAAGACTTCTTGACCTTGAGTATGCGGACGATATTGTCTTACTGTGCGATAATGCCCAAGGCATGCAATCCGCACTTAATCAGTTGGCAATCAGTGTCCGTAGGTATGCTATGTGCTTTGCACCTTCGAAGTGCAAAGTACTTCTACAAGACTGGCAGGATTCCAATCCTGTACTCACCCTGGATGGTGAGCAGATAGAAGTAGTCGAGAAGTTCGTGTATCTGGGTAGCTGCATAAGTGCTGGTGGGGGTGTGAGTGATGAGATCAATGCACGTATAGTGAAAGCCAGAGCGGCTTATTCCAATCTGGGCCACCTCTGGCGCCTTCGTGATGTTAGTCTGGCTGTAAAAGGTCGGATCTACAACGCGTCGGTGAGAGCAGTTCTGCTCTATGCTTGTGAAACCTGGCCTCTCCGAGTTGAGGACGTTAGACGACTCTCTGTGTTCGATCATCGCTGTCTCCGAAGGATTGCTGGCATTCAGTGGCAATACCATGTCAGTAATGCAGAGGTTCGGCATCGTGTGTTCGGGCACAGAGATGATAATTCAATTGGTGTCACCATCTTGAAAAACAGACTTCGGTGGCTTGGACATGTTCTACGAATGTCGTCCCAGAGAATTCCACGTCGTGCATTATTTGCCGACTCTGGGACTGGTTGGAAGAAGCGGAGAGGTGGTCAGTGCATGACATGGTGTCGTGGGATGAAAGAAAGCTGCAAAGGACTGGCTTGTGTCGGTCCTTCACGACTCCCTGGTTGGGATCCGAGAGATGGTGCTACACAGTGGCTAGAGACGTTATCAGATATGGCTCAGAATAGAAGCCAGTGGCGATCCTGCTGTAATCTTCTTTTGCTTTCTTCATAAAAAAGTGGTTATATCTTCCTTAACTGAAAGATTTCTTCTGATTGTACCCTTCTGTTCCCCTACTATTACTATTATTATCATTACACTACCTTACACCAATCTCTTTTTCATTGTTTTTTTATTTATTATTTTTTTTAATGTTCCTCACTTTTTTTTCTTCTTAAATTCTCATTTTGTGTGGCGCATATATATTCGGCGCACTCCTGTACCAATATATATGTGTTCAAATAAATAAATAAATAATTTAATTATTAACATATGAAAGCATGTTCTATACAGAATCAACTTTGACCTGAATAACAGCATAAGAGTAGCGTAGGATCGGACTTGTTTTAATTTCAATTAAGTATTTAATCTGATTAATTCCTTGTGTAACACTGAAACATGTAATAATATGAAAAACCTAGTTATTTTCTGAAGAACTGACTTAATCACAAACCGAAAAATATCGGAAAAAAACTTTTCGATGCACTCTGATATTCATTATAAAATATCTAATTTTAATTACCATAAAAAGTAATTCGTATAAAGGGATTTACAGAAATGGTATAATTTTCTATAATTTAAATAACGAACTAGACCACCACTGAAAAATAGAAGCACTGGATAGTCAATGCATCCTGGTATGGGACTCCTCAGTGGTTCCTATACACGACCTCGTAGGGGATCGAACCCAAAACTTTCAGTCTCAGGCGCGAACGCCCAACTTAAAAACCAATGAGTCGTCATTCAATGGTGTACATGTCTAATTTTAATCAATTTTTATGATATCACGTAGTTATCTGCCATTTTCGGAAGCGAACGACTGTCTTACACTCGACACAGTTGAACTGTACTGGTCGCAGCTTTTCACCAGAACTCCAGGAGTCGAATCTTGGAGCTATTCACTAGTTGAATGCATTATTACTAGTATAGGGGGAATTGTGGAGACTGTAGAAAGTTCAAATCACAAACTGATCTAGAGGCCAAGCGTTCGGGTGCAAAACTGAACTGTCCTGGGTTTGATGCCGGGGTACGGAGTCGTAGATATGCACTTCCAAGGAGTCTCATAATAGAACTAAATGCCCGTCTAATGTCACCAAGTTTTCAATGGTGGTTTAGCTAAGATCATTATATGATTTAAACTATGAAAATAATATAATTCTCATTAAAAGTACACAAATAAATTTATTCAAACATAAAAAAGCATGAAGTCTGAAGCATGATTGAACATCTGTTAATTGTCTTACCTCTAAACTGTTGATTCCTTGTTTCGTTATCAATTGACAATCGTATAAATCCAACTGTCGAAGTTTACGGCAATTACTACCCAGATGTTCTAAAGCAGCATCTGTTAATAATGGACAATTATCCATAGCTAATGTTTGAAGTTGGTCAGGACCACAAAGACCTTCAGCTAGACGTGCAATACCTTCATCAGTCACTTGATCACAATGTGATAATACTAGTGTATTTAAACGTGGACAATGTACAGCTAATTGAGCTAAAGTTGAATCAGTCACTAACGCACAGTCTTCTAGATCCAACTTTTCAAGCTGTTCAAAACAGAAGATAACAACAAACAACCATTAGTAGTAGCAATGGTGAGTAAGAAATTATAGTTGACTAAATATTTTAAAACAGAAAAAATTATTGCTGTATCTCCTTAACATAATTACTTTTGCATTAATAGTACTCGTAACTAAAAATACTGAAATTAGATATTATATATCAAATAATGTGACAATGGTATGAAGATATTAAAGTATAGTGATAAATATAGGAATCCGCCGCCCGGAACTACCGAGACTACATTTTAGTTCTGAGAACTTATCAGTCAGTCAGCTACAACGTAGAACTTGTCGAATTTTATCGGATAAAACTAAATATTAGTTTTACTAATGTAAGCAGTTGGGGAACACAATAACTTTCCTGGTTAAAACAGAAGCCTTATGATCACGAAGGGATCACCTATTTATTCGATTTTGTACAGACCTTCATGGAATCATAGTTAGAACTCGTGACTACTCATTGTTTGGAAGTCGAATACTTGACTCAATTAGGAATACAACTTTCAAACCAAAATACAAGTAGAGGAGGTAAGTGTATACAACATACACAAACTCCATTAAACGGAGCTGCTATGTTTGAAGAGATTACGAGATCGCCTAAATCGACGAACGGAACGAAGACACAGCAATACTATGACAAGACGGCTAAATTATTCAAATGCGTCCCAGCCCCGCTAACTGGAAGAAGAAATCCAGGTTCACATAAGGGAAAGTGCATTCCACAAGCAGCCACAATCACAATCACAAGCGTAAATATACAGCATAAAAATGCCCTTGGGAAACGTCACAAAATAATAACATTTAGAGTCCTTCTCAGTGGAAAATAAAATCTGAATGTAAAAATGAGCGCTTTTGGCGCAAAAACAAGAAATTCAAATTTAAAAATAAGAAGTTTCCAAGTAAGTTCTGGGGATCTAGCATCCCTAACACGAGCACAGGAAATCCCAGTAATGAAAATTAACACAAAACTTTGTCACAACATGGAAGTGATCAGGAATACAAAAATGTTAATATAATCGTTTGTACCATAAATCAATTATTTACTTCGAATCTAACACCCCTTAATTTTGAAGGTCCAAATCCATAAAATTTTTAAGGATTCAACTCAAAACCTTCAAATTTCCCATAGAGTAATGCGTAGTCTTTAAATTTACTAATTTGACCCAAATGATTGAGACTAATTGAAAAGCAGATTATTAATTCTCAGAATTATGAAACACTGACAATACCTACATACACACCACTACCACTGTACAAAATCCTGTTTTAAACGAATATATCCATAGTTTCATTAATAATAAATAAGCAAATTTATTTCAGATTAAATTTAGTATTCTTCATACACATAGTTCCATTCATTATCTTAAAGAGAACAAGAACGAAGACTGCACCAATCATCTTTCTTGCTCTTTTAACGATAATAAAGGGGACTATGTGTATGGAATTTCTCAAAATGCGTCTCTCTGCACAGTCATTCAAGTCACTGAATCGCCTGGTGACAATACGCTGCAGAACATCGAGAGGAATGACTCGACTTAAATTTCTTGATGAATGTCTCAAATCATGCCGTTTCCCACGTCAACTCTTAAAATCTTTCAGTCAGTCAGTCAGCTACAACGTAGGACCAGGCACATATATGCATAGGTCCAAGTTGCCATGCCTCATCAGCACAGCAAGATGGACACCGGATTCATAGGAGTGGTTAAGTCAATGGTGGTAATATATAAAAGAAAGATTGCATGTAGGGACACAGTACAGGCAGAAAAAATTAGTTCGTAGAAAAAAGATATGAAGCGATTTTATTCTCCCAGTTTGAAGGAAGACAGAGAGTGCATACACCGACGCCATTGTGATCGATTCTGAGCCGTATCACCCGGAGTCTCCAATCATTGGTTACGATAGTCACGCGGACCCCAAACAAGTAGTCTGCATCTAACAACATGGCTCAGTTAGTGACTTCAATGACTGATACTCGTGTAAACTCCTGCCTTCTCTCAAAAATCTTCCGCGCATCACAAAATCTCACATACAATCAACAAAATTATTGGTTGAAAGTTTGAGGGCAGAAACTAATGTCCTTGATGAACTAGTCAACGATCTAATTATCGTATGTCGCATAAAATTTATTAACTTTATCCAAGGTCTGTAAACAAAATATGCAAGAATTTCAATGTAAATTTGTCAAAGACACTGTCAAAGGAACACTTATGCTTTGGTTTTCCGGAAAACCCCGAAGAAATTTCTCGATAATCTATCAACAGTGAAGCTAAATCAAATAGAAACAGAAGCTTTGTCGCTTGGATTTAAATTTCATATCCAAAAAATACATGTCGATAGAATCGACACAGAAACTCGATTTGAGAATTTATTTGATCAAATTAAAGAATTGCACTCAGTTAGTGAAGAGAAGAAAGGCTGGTTTAAATCTAAACTGGTTGATATCGCAAACTAATATCTCGTTTCAACCACACCCCAATCTAAGCTTTTATCCAAAGATCACCTAACAACATTACGAAATATTAAGCGAAATGATCATATAATGATATTATGGTCAGATAAGGGTTCAAGTATTGTTCTAATGAACACGACGGCTTATGTCTCTAAGATGAAGTCCATTTTGAGTGACCACATGAGATTCAAGTTAGATAAAAGTAACAAGGACTTAACTGATTCCACTGAGAAAAAACTGCACCAATCTTCGCTCTTGCTCTCTTTAGTATTTTTAATGATACATTTAATGTTTTATTCCACAAATGTTAAAGTTGTAGGTTAAGGTAGATAAATTAATTCATTTTTAATCAATGAACTGTACATGAGTTCAAAACATACTGTACCTATTTCAATTTCGACAACAGAATAGTACAGTACTAAATCCTTAAGCAGAAAATATGTGGTTCAAAGCTGAGCACATGAATCTTTACTTCTTTTCAAAACAAAAACAATCAAATAATAATAATCACATTTTAAATACAAATTGTGTTGAACGTATCATATGTGAATGGATGTAATAAGATAGAAGTGGCGTGAAACAGATAACACCAAAAAATAGGTTATAAATTTGATTATAGTTAAACTTTGTAGTATATATCTCTTTTTTTAATATTAATAATTAGATTAATTATTACCATTTCTATCGTTTAAGGTAAGTATATGAGAGATAAAAGTTGATTGTTTTATTTTAAATAAAACACTAGTCATTGACATAATAATCAATGAATATTAGTTGGACTTTTCTTCGGAAAGAAATTATAGTTTAGACATATGTTACGTAAGCCTAATCCACTGTCTACGTTGACAGATGAAATAAACCGGTGTAGAAATAGTTTAAACGAAAACTAAAGATGTTCAAATCAAAATGTGATGTAGGTTTCTGAAATTATTAACTGATGAAATAAACCAAGTTGGTAAGCGCTAACTACATGATTGAAATTCGCGCATTAACTATGATCAATGGTTGGAGATGTTGGACTAAAAATGACTCAGAATCGGTAACAATGGCTCAGATGTATTCACTTTTTATCTTACTCAAGATATTGGTTCCTAGTATCTCTTTATATACATCTTTTCACTACATATTCTCAATATTTAGTCTCTTCTAACAATATTGTTACTGCACTGTTTTAACTCCTTTGCTACTCATCGTAATTCTTTCTCATTGTGCCGATGCATTATGACAACTTGGACTGGACACATTTGTAGTGACCTACTTTTACCAAGAGAACGCGATTGGTTTAATGGAAACAATCATTATTATAACCAATTGTACCAGTGATTGTTTTACTGTGCTCGTTTGCTTAACTGGGCTAAAGACAGCCATATTACTACCCCATTACTCTCCATTACTTTCCTGTGGACAGTGACCTTGTACGCTTATACTCTCGCCCACTAATTCCGCTTGTATTTCTTTTAGCACGATCTCGGTATTGGTTCGATACCACGAGATCGTTAACGAAATAAATCTGGTTACGCTCCATCTTCGTCTTCTGGTTTCTCTGGTACGCGCTTCCTTGTAGTGGTGTTCATAGTCAATCGCGACTCGACACCACGCTACACATTTACGCCAGGCTCTATGCTGATTATTGTCATATCCGAGCGAAGATTAAATCATGAGTAACTTCTGAGACATATTAATTGACTAATATTATCTATACATTCTGATGGTATAACTATTCAATAATTAGATTATGTATATTTATATTCCTCTTATTATAAGCTTCATTTTGATCTATAATTTTTTATTATACAATTTACTGTTCGTAAGCTATGTTCAGTTTATTGACTACTGCCTCCCACGTTCACAGTCACTTTTCGGCTTCATTCTCTATAAATGTTATTTCCTATTTTATAGTGCGTTGCGGTTTGCTTAGTTGATATATAAACCCAGTATGTCTGAAATAAATGATTCAATTCGATCCGATTCGCATAGTGGGAGCTGGTATTGGTGTTCTGGACTCAAGTGGACGGGCTAGTCGGACACAGGACCAATAAGAACGCTAGGCTTCCCATACCGGTCGAACGTCATTGGTTTGGCACAGTGCTAAGATCGTATAAGTCGTATTTTGATTGGTGGATAAATCACGTGATAACTAGCCGGACATAAAAACATAACAATTATGACTGATTAACAATTATAAGTTATACATCAAAGACAACTTACTTTATTGCAAACACGTGCGATTGCCGATAGGCCAATATCTGTGATAGCTGAACAACGAGCCACTTCTAAAGTTGTTAAGCTAACACATCCAACTGGAATCAATGTTATCTTATTAGAATCATTAGTTTTTTGGCGTCGATTATTATCTCGATCTCCATGATTATTAACATTACCGTTTGGTGATGAAGCATCTTGATTATTAACGCTTCCATTGCTTGTTACTACCGGAAGAATTAAAGGGATCCCATTTTGCTGACTGGTAGATGTAGCTTGTCCAACGATAGCTGCTGCTGCAGCTGGCGATAATGTGCCAGCAATTGCACGAAGACCTTGATCAGTTATTGAACAATGTGATATAGCTAGTACACGTAGATCAGGACAACCAATGGAAAGATGAACCATAGCTTCATCTGTGACACCCTATATAAATTTGAAACAAAAATGACAACATATAAAATGTATAAATGACATTACAAGTCTACAGTTAGTGTAATGTATACTTATCTTCGAAATATGATATTCCTGAGAAAGTAAGACCAAAACAGATTGATTAGATTTCAGTCCTGAATATCAACTACGAAATAACTCAAGCCATTTTTAATAATGGCACAAACATCGTACCCGTTAAACTAATTAGTGTTCATTTAGACTCATCAGATCGGTGAATATATTAGCTTTTTAAGTGAAAGGTACTAGATTCGAGGTTCAATGCAGGACATCTAACTGACGAGTACCAAAGAGGACAAAACTTGCACTTTGAACTTCACTGGTAGTTACAGTCTAGCTATATTACGAAACTTTCAATAAAACTCGTTTTGGATTTTGAGATGTTCTCGAATGCAAAAGAAGATACAAAGCAGAGCCTGTACTATTGTGGTGTGCTTCTTGTTTGGATAGATATTAGTATGTAGCAGTAATAGGAAGTGAAATGTTGAACAGCAGAAGATTGAAAAGAGAACAGGAAGGAAAATGAACAGAAATCGGAATAACAACTGGATTGGATGATGAAGTATGTAAAGGACAATTGAAGGGAGATGTGCAAATGATGTATAATGTATGATTTCCATATTTAACAAAGGCAATGTGCGATTTCGCGTACAATGAATAGTTAATTTTCCTCATGTAGTCCTTTTTCATTACACTATGAAAGCACTATTGATGCTGTGTCACAGAAGCATTTTTCTCACAAGTGAAAAAATGAAGACGGAAGACCGGAATTATATTTTAAAGCAGAGACTTTAGAATACTGAAGTAAATAGACTTTATACCAATTTTCATAAGTAACTGACTGCTGTTCATTTCCATTTAAATATAAAATGTTGCTTCAGGACTGGTTCGCATCAACCTCAGAAATAGTAATAGGCAGTGAAGAGCTGATTGTGTTGACCACGTCACATATCAAAGAATTCTCACCATCTCTGGTGGGTTAGTTGGCTTTGCCAACTTGCGTTAATTGTGCAGTAGATGAGATATCCATCTGCTAACTAAAGGACGATTATATTGAGCACCAGTTCGCCCCTTTCTACTTTAAGTGATATGGCTCAGAATCATTCGTAATGACACAGGTGCACTAACCTTTTGTTCTGCCTTAGATCCTAAGTTTCGAGATTCCCCACAATTATTGTTTTCTTTTATTACATTGATCCTTCTTTTATTGAATCGTATCTTCAGTGTCTAGGCTTTTCTACCATCACTAGTACTGTTACTATTTCCTTAACAATTCTATCACACTATGATAATAGTGTACGGGAACTTAAATCGATACACACATGTACCACGTTCTACATTGCGTGTGACTGACTGTTATAAAGCATTTTTAATGTTACTAATACCAATGAAATAATCGATTTAAATGCTCTGAAGAATCCTAAAATACCACTTTTACTTTGATCAGTACAATAATATGAATATTAAAGCAAAGATAAAATATAGTGGTAATAATCAAGCACAGCGAATCATAACAAAGATAGAATCTTTCGAAACTTTCCTACTTTTAACACATGACACAGTGTTCAGTACAAAGACGGGAAAACAAGATATAACATTTTCGCTTTAGTTCTGAAAAATATCTGAGAAATGTACTAGATACAGTTGAGCGTCATTTCTAATCGACTTAAAGATAACTTACATTAACCATAATATAGAGTTTGAATATTACATTTAACTATATCATTTAGGAAATTTTGACGATATTGTTTTGTATTGGAGGAAATATATGACAGGCATATCTGTCAAAACAAACAAGTGTGAATGTTTATTATAGGTTGAGGCTCGATATTTTGATGACTTTTTATTATGAATTTGTTATTATTTATTATTTATTTGAACACATGAATATTGGTACAAGAGAGCGCCAATATATATGCGCCACACAAAACAATGAAAATTCGAAGAGAAGTACAAAAAAAAACTAAGGAGCGCAAAGGAAAAAGAGAACAATAACGAAGAGATTGGTGTAAGGTAGTGTGGTAGTAACGAGGGAACGAAAAGGTACAATCAGAAGAAATCTTTCAGGTAAGGGAGACACAACCACTTTTTATGAAGAAAGTAAAAGAAGGTTACAGCAGGATCGCCACTGGCTTCTATTCTGAGCCATATCTGATAACGTCTCTAGCCACTGTGTAGCACCATCTCTCGGATCCCAACCAGGGAGTCGTGAAGGACCGACACAAGCCAGTCCTTTGCAGCTTTCTTTCATCCCACGACACCATGTCATGCACTGACCACCTCTCCGCTTCTTCCAACCAGTCCCAGAGTCGGCAAATAATGCACGACGTGGAATTCTCTGGGACGACATTCGTAGAACATGTCCAAGCCACCGAAGTCTGTTTTTCAAGATGGTGACACCAATTGAATTATCATCTCTGTGCCCGAACACACGATGCCGAACCTCTGCATTACTGACATGGTATTGCCACTGAATGCCAGCAATCCTTCGGAGACAGCGATGATCGAACACAGAGAGTCGTCTAACGTCCTCAACTCGGAGAGGCCAGGTTTCACAAGCATAGAGCAGAACTGCTCTCACCGACGCGTTGTAGATCCGACCTTTTACAGCCAGACTAACATCACGAAGGCGCCAGAGGTGGCCCAGATTGGAATAAGCCGCTCTGGCTTTCACTATACGTGCATTGATCTCATCACTCACACCCCCACCAGCACTTATGCAGCTACCCAGATACACGAACTTCTCGACTACTTCTATCTGCTCACCATCCAGGGTGAGTACAGGATTGGAATCCTGCCAGTCTTGTAGAAGTACTTTGCACTTCGAAGGTGCAAAGCACATAGCATACCTACGGACACTGATTGCCAACTGATTAAGTGCGGATTGCATGCCTTGGGCATTATCGCACAGTAAGACAATATCGTCCGCATACTCAAGGTCAAGAAGTCTTTCTCCAGGCAACAGATCCACACCACCATTACTTACATTCATCAGAGCTGTTTCCAGAATGTCATCGATGGCAAAGTTGAAGAGGAATGGTGAGATTGGGCAACCCTGCCTAACCCCACTGCTCGAATGGAACAACGGAGAGAGGTGGTTGTATGCCCTCACTCTCCCTGAGGTGTTTGTATATAGGGCTTTCAGGATGTTAATAAACTTCTCAGGCACACCCTTCTTCAATAGACAATCCCAGAGAACAGTCCTGTCCAACGAATCAAAGGCAGCCCTGATGTCAAGAAACACTAAGATTGTTGACCTTTGATAAGTATGGCGGTGTTCTAACATTTGGCGCAGGGTGAAGATATGATCAATACATCCTCGACCAGAACGAAACCCAGCCTGCTCCTCGCGAGTCAATCTTTCTCAGGTTTTGAACAACCTACGAAGAATGACGGAAGCCAATAGCTTGGACGCAATCGGAAGTAGACTTATCCCCTGATAGTTGTTACAGGAACGACGTGAACCCTTTTTAAAGATGGGGACAACTATCGACTCATTCCATGACGTTGGTACACTCTCTAGTTCCCAAACCTTTGTAAACAACGTCGTCAATTCCTTAGTCAAAAAGTCACCACCATCTTTAAAAAGAGCCGGAGGTAAGTCATCTGGGCCAGGTGATTTGTAACGCTTCAAGAGTTGGAGTTCCTTGCGGACTTCCTCCTCATTTGGTGGATCAGTCGTCACCGGCCATGGAGGGCAGGACAGTCTGACCGATGTTGCCGGAGCAGCAGGCCAGTTGAACTGCCCTTCGAAAAATTCTGCCCACCGTCTAAGACGTCGATGGATGTTAGTGATTGGCATCCCATCATCCTCGCAGATTGTTTCACTCACACCAGACTTCTTGCTGCCAGTGGCTCGGATGAGCTGGAAGAGCTTCCGGTAGTTACCAGATGCAGCTGCTGCTTCCAGCTCATTAGCACGCTTCGACCACCAGGCTTCTTGGTCCTTACGCAAGCTTTGCCCAATTTCATTGCGTAACATCCTTCGTTTATGGTCAAACTCACGGTCACCCGGAGTAGACCGACGGGCTTCAATGAGTTGTAAGGAACCTGGAGAAACCCAGTGCTTAAAAGCGGGACGTTTCGCAAACCCATAACTGACCGCCCCACCTAGTTCGGTTTGTGGTCAGGTAGTATTACTAGCTATCATACGACAAAATCGTGGTTAAGAACAGAATGCATAAACCTGTACATGATAAGTTAATTATTTATATTACTATTATAACTATATTTGGAATCTGCACTTAAATGGTGTATTTTTGCATATACACACAAGGATTACACAGAAAACGTTTTTACTATTAATTTATGAGAATTGGATATTTGTAACATTTATGGCTTAAATACTGTCAACCTTTCTATCGCGTTGATTTTCCGCTGTCAACTGGGGACGTTTAGAGTGATCCAACCACCATCTTATCTCAACATAGTGCACGCAATGTTGAGTCACCTAGACTAGTGGCCACATATCAACTTGGTCGATAGGATTCGATCTGTACTAAGGACCTCACATACATGATATTGATCATCACCCAGTGATCAATCAATTGTAAGTGATCCAATATCTTTGGAGACTATGTTGTTTTTGTTTACTAGTTAAATGGGTGATTCTACTTATTAAGAAACTGGATTCCCAAAGTTAATAGTCAGACGAATAACGATCTAACAGGTAATACATTTTTTCATTACAGAACAGCCGTCCTGATTTCCGATTCTATTTTTATACCTTTATGATGAGAGCAATTTTTAGATTACTTACATTTCTAAAGAGCAAATACAAATCTGATTGCTAAATCAATATTCATCAATAAATACCTATTTTCAATCAACCAATGTCATATTAAGTCAACTAGATTAAAAGTCATAGTAATTGAGATAGGGTCAATGCTACTACTTGTTTGTGTATATTTTATTACGAATAGCAGAGTTTGAACATTTGACTTACAAATTGAGAGAACCTACTAAGAGATAATTAGTTCTAAATATTATATTAGTGATCAGTGGGGTGGCTCAGTGAATACATTCTAACCATGACACACAGATTGAAATGTACATACCTGTCCACAGTAATTCAAGTTTAACAGCAATAAACCATGGCAGTGACGTGCTAATTGTTCCACACCACGACTTGTTATCTCTTGACAACCTATAGCACGAAATCTTTGTAAACTTTTACATCCTCTGGCGATAGCGGTTAGCCCACGATCTCCAACACTACACCATGACACATCCAAACATGTTAGATTTGAACACCAGCTAGTGTGTGGAAAACCGAGATTTAAACAGACAGAACGGAATCTCAACAAATTTCAAATACAATTTATTTTGAAATGAAATGCGTTAGGTTATACCGTACATTTCTAGGTTATTCAAATGTATCAAGGTGTGGGAGTCTAGATTCTAGTTCAAGTGAAATCCAATTGTTTCAATGACTTCAGGAAATTTGGATACCCACAGTCAATAAAACAACAAACAAATCGAGACTGTGGTTGGATGATTCAGAGAAACACTCCTTGACTTTAGTTTGAAATTGGAATTCATTGATGGAAGCAAACATAAAAACTATCATAACATGGAAGATACTAGTGTTCTACAGCTAATTAGCGAAAACCTGAAATTGGATATCTGTCTGGTAGGTTGTGTTGGTGGCTTGAAGAAAATTAAACATTATTAAGAATGTGACATACCCGACTGGGAGATAATGATACAGAAACCTCTACATATAAATCCATAGATGTACCAAACCTAGAAAGATATAATATAGCTAATGTAGCTGTAAGTACCTACAGTTCCTATTCTAATAATTTTATGGTGGACTTATTCTAGGGTTAAACGTTATAACAAAAATGAATTTACTACGGTTTACAATAATTAGCTACCAGTACTACTACAGTTTTAACAGAATTACATATAAATTCCATAGTGAGATAAGTAAACAGAAAATTATGTAAAGGTACATATTAGTTCATGCTGACGTATTCTGCAATAATATAGTGAAAATACTAAAATGATCAGAAGCGTAAATATTATGAAATAAGCAAGATTTTCAATACTTCAAGGACCATTAAATGTAGACCAATTGTCACATTGTACGCAATCATTTTTCAACTTAGATTCAGATATTATTGGTAGGCGATGTTTCAGCATGTGTAACCTCCACAGTCAACTGAGACCCGAATAATATTGTGCAAAACCAAAGACATTAGTTTCGTGCGACTAGGTAATGAATATATTTTCCTTTCTTAAGATAAATTAAATACCCAGTAACCCTAAGCAATTACTAGTGAATATATTGATAGCTTTTGAGATTGCCTCATCCACCAATGAACTGATTTAAGAAAAAAACGTTCACCTGACACAAAGACTGATTAATCGACTTCGTTACTATGACGGTTGGTGCACTAAGATGTAAACTGCATGTAGAAACAATAAGAATGATTATCCGAGTGAACAAAAGGGGAATCGTTAGGAGTTTCGGACACTTGACCATACACAGTAAAATAAAATAAAAGTGATGGGATAATCAATTAACGGCAAGAGGTTTATTGGGTCATTAATCACTCAATGCAATAAAACCTGGTGTAATAGTAGGTACCATGACATGGAAAGGAAAATTTGTAAACGATATGCAGAAACAATGAGTGCATGACGGAAAAAATATTTGCTGACTAATCAGAAAATTTTTAATACACTTACCTTAGCATTTCTAATCCAGCATCATCTATACGAGAGCAACTTTCCAGGGACAAAGTAGTCAGAAGAGAACAATTTTTCCCTAAATAATCGCAAGTTCCATTCGTCAAGTTTTGACATCCCGATAAGTCCAAACTTTCAATCATATGACAAAGTTCAGTAAAACATCTATAACAAGAAGACAAGAAGGTTAGTCACCAGATGGTGCTCGTTAAGAAAGTCTTTATGAACATGACGTATCTTGCTTTGTTTTTGACAGACTTAATAGAGGTGTGTGTAAACTTTCAACTAAAGAGAACAAACGAAACCAGTCATCCGTCGAACTACAATAACCAGCCACAAGAATGACTGATGTAATACAGAGTTAACAGTAGTCTAGTAGGAAATTTTGTAGCAGGATTTAAAATACTAGGTGAGGACAATCACTAAATAGTCACCTGTCTGCTTATAAACTTTACGAGTTGACTAAAAACTGCATGTAAAAGTACTCCGCTTTGATAAAGGATGTGCTGGGGAATGTCAATGGAGAGATGACGTACAATAGCTCTTTCACCTTACAAATAAACAACCTTTTTTCCATATAACCGTCACTGTGCAATTTTGACCAGATTTCGGGGAAGAAGGTTGTCCAACGTCGATCGTTTTACTGTTTTCTATAGACTGAATCAGGTGTTGATTCTGAGTGCGACAAATATCGAAAACTGGTAGAAGGAAAGCCGATCCTTACACCTAGCCAAGCTTTTTCATCAATATTCTGAATATAATACCTTAAGACTCGATGGACACAACAGATATTTTAAGTAGACACTGACCCTTCAAATAATGGAATCCTAGTATTTACAAATTAAAATGGCCAAACCCCACATAAATTATAGATGGAATAATCAAGAGAACGGACTTTTATCTAAAAGTTCATAAAACCCCTATCAGTTAATTTTGATACAGGACAACGACTAACCATTTGAACGATGTGAATAAAATATCAACTAGTTTTTCTTTACAATGTTTATAATGTACACAGACAATCATTCAGTTGAAAGTGTACTTAAGACAAGTGTATGAAAAATCAATAACAACATAGGAAGTTAACATATAAGCAGTACAATTCGTGGGCAAAGATAAAATATCAATCGGACTCACTTTAGAGCCTCATCAGTAACATTTCGGCAGCCTTTCAACCTCAACTCACGGAGGAAGCCCCGACTTCTCTGAGCGATTTTTTCAACTACTTTGGGCTATTTATGTTGAGTTAGTTGGACGATAGAAATTACCTGCACATATCGCTGGAAGTCAAATAAATTAATACTCTTCCAGTTGCTCCCATCAAAAGCACATTCATACCAAAACTATCAAAAGGCTGGTGAAAGAAAGGCAGCTTACTTTACAAACTTGAGAGCATTTGCATAGAGTAGTGATATCTAAGTAAGAAAAAACCCTGGATTCAGATTTAGAAAGTTGGCAATCCTACTCACCTGATGATTAACTCTTTCGGTAAACTATCGTTGATGCACACATCGCTTTTGTGGTATGAATTAGTCTGCAGGGCAGTGATATATATATATATATGGATGAACTTACCTTTCCATTAGTCACGACCGAACCATTAGTATTAAAATAATTAGAAAAGTTTTCCATTTTAGATAACTTTAATATCTACAATACCACACAACGCGAGGACCCCATTGTGAAGCTTTATCGGAAGGTGTTTATAGGATAGAAAACTGCATATCAGTCAGATTATTATTGGTCCTGGAAACAAGTGAAATACCATACTTCAAGCCAATCAGCTGACTAGATGCTTTGAAACCCCAACAAAGAGTACGGTAAAACACATGATGTTCAATAACCCTTAATACAGTCTTTTCTGTTTAGCTTGGACCTAATGGGTTTTACTTTATTTTAAACACCATCATACTGTATCTTCTTGTCTGTGCAGCTATTTGACTGTTCAAACGGTCTACCATACTGTCCGGAATTTCCATGTGCATACATTAGTTGATGCAATGATAGTTAAGAGGGATATCGGCCTCGTGGTTTCCGAAAAATTTCATCGTTCACCGTGAAGTGACATATTTCTTTTAAATGGAGATCCTTCAACTCTAAGACAGAGTCCAAATGGCCTGTATTGTCTTTTTCTGGCCGGCTTTTTCAGCAAGGTTGGCTTATACGGGATGGAGTTGCTGATTTCATGCCCAAACCTCCTTTTGTATCCCGGCCTCGAACAGCCAGTAAACCTAGAAGGGATTGAGGCGGAATGTGGTGGGTGGCAATGGAGCCAATGAAGACAGCGATTCCCCTTTGACAAACCAAACACTTTTTCGTATCATTATGTACCATGGTTCAGAATTATGTATAGGGGTAATATAATTACTATATAGTAATAATTAATAATAATGATAGTTCTAGCTTGATTGTAGATGAGATGAAAGATAGTTTAAACGGGAAATATAAACCCAGAAAACTAGGGAAGAATGAATAGTAAAAGCAAAATCTAATCGGGATGATCGTGGAGTTGAACTAGATAGTTTTAAGGATTCTTATCGAATCAGTTTGTCTGACCGATCAGAAAGAAAATTACATAATACCGAAAGTCGTTTCGACAGTAGGGTTGATGGTGTTTATCACCGTAAAAGCCATTATGAGTGATGGCTGGAGGTCGTGGTAGTGTAGTGGAGGAGAACACAGGTGAGGACAACTGAATTATTTAGCGCAAAATTACAGAGGTACTTGGTAAAATAGAAAAACCATACTATAATACTTAATTCGCAAAATGTTCAGTAATTGTCTCGGACTTCATTGTTCTTGCATTTCCATACTAATTGTTTTCTACTCCCGTTCTTCCTTTCTTGATCTTCCCAATCTTCTGCTGCCAGACATTACATTCCTAACTCGCGTTATATACTAATCATACCGATTTAAGTAACATGCACCACAGTGGGTCTAGAACTTTCTAGGGGGTTAGGCCAGAGGTTATGGGGAAAAAACACCTATATGCCATAAAAACATTACTATAATGAATTATTTTTGAACCTATTTCATACCCAGCATTCAAAAGGAGAGTTATCAACCATACAAAGTACAGACGTTAGGATATCAGCATTGCTAGCTTTATGATATGAAGTTTTCTTATGTATATTCAAATAATAAGTCGCCGTCGGTAGATAACACAGCGGTCATTTTGCTGTTCTAGTGCCTTTGAAAAAGAACATAGATATAATAGCCGGGAATTTTGAAGCAGTGCAACATAGTTGCCAAGGCGGCCTGCTTGAATATCTGGGCTACCTGTTCCTCCGATCTAGATATTTCATCAAGTTATCTGTTTTGTTGTTTGTTTTAACATATCATTATGTCTATTGTGCGCACAATTTATTCAGGCGCGTTTATGAAAAGTTTACAACCTTTCGCTGTACGTGATACAAAAAGGTACAATCAGCGACATCATGGTGGCTGGCAATATGCATTGAAACGAATAAACATTAATCAAATGTGGATTACCGAACTCCTAACATCTAACTGGTCATCATTCAAAATTTATCGTCACAATAGATCAAGGTATAAGAAAAGGAAACTTATTGAAATACTTTATGCTGAGAATTCTATGTTGTACCAAAAATATAATGTTGAATAAAGCTTCTTATAATAATAATAATAATAGTTCACTGAGTTTGGGGCGTAGGTTGTTCAGAGTGGCTGTCTTCACGACATGTACGATAAGTGTTGAAAATAATTTGCCCAAGGACTTTGTAAAGGTTTCTGAAATTCATATGCTGTCAGAACATCGCCCACACTGGTGTTTAATTCATCATGTAGTGATAAACCAGAAAAAGCAAGAATAACGGATAATGATTTTTGATTGTGTTGATAATTTTGTGGCGGTTTTGTTAGATGATCGTGAAAATGCTAAGCACACACAGTGTTGCACTGATGCTGCTAAAGAAACACGAAAAGTGCTGATAGAATGAAAATCTTATGAACACAAAATCATCAAAGGATCCGTCAAACAAAAAGGGAGGTGGTTACAATGAATTTTGTCAGTGCTATGCACCACCAACCATAGTAATGAAGACGACAATGATAATTTCTATGGGATGCTCCAGTTGACCGTAGAGAAGTGACCAGGAAAGGAAATGATCATCCTGATATATATCTAAACTCCAAGGTCAGAATGGACAATAGTGAGTACGAAGATATCATGGGACGATAAGGACTGAGAGAAAGGAAGGGGAATGTCGAGAGATTTGCAAAATTATGTCTTAAAATGGTTAAGGGTGACACAATATACTCCTATAAACGTATACACAAAGCTACATGGGTATCATCGGACTACACCACAAAAGAACAGATTTATCATATATGCATCAATAAAAAGTCAGATGATCCTTGGAGGATGTGAGGACAAAGAAAGGAGATAAAGTAGCTTCAGATCACCTCCTGGTGGTTGTTAAGAAAAAGAATTAGACAACTGAAGAAACAGCATCAATAAAACCCATACATCCCTCCTCAGCGATACTGATAAACTCAAAGAATTCAAGATGAATCCTTACAAGATCCATTCGAAGAAGAGGAGACTACTATAGAGAACGACTAGAAAGTGATCAAAGAGGCACTAACTCTAACATGCCAAGAAGTTCTTGGCCGCAAGAAACAACAGCATAAGAAAAGGATCTCTACCGAAACCCTGTCCAGGATTTAAGAAAGGAAAAGCTGTAGTGAATTAACATACTTAACTTCAAACGGACTGGTCTACAGTTTCTATTCAACTCATTGCTTATGACTACCTTGTATGGACAGTTAATTTTGACCATCCATCTATGAGCACTAATTTAGATAACTGATCCACTAGGTAATCATAAGATTGTGTTTACAGTATGGCTCTTACGGCTGCACTCCTGTTGAACCATTCATTGTCAGTACAAAATCCAGGAAATTACCACTACTGTCATGTGACGAAACCTTATATTGTGTATACAACACTGCATATATCTTTGTAGTATTTTTGTAGTAGAGTATAACAAAAATCTACCATACGTGTGGCTTTTCCACTTGATTATTGTTAGTATGAACAGAGAACGCTTGTGCTGTTCATACTTTAAGCGCTTAACCACCGACTAATATTATGCATATCAATGTGGTTTGTTAGGACACTTTGATGTAGTTACCCATTCTTGAAGTCAGAGAACACCGTATAAATGTGATTTTTGTGAACAGAACCACCATGCTCTCACGCACTCAAATCGATGTCCTCCTGGGTGCTAGGACATGCACTTGACAAATAAACCGCTTCAGCCATTAGTAAACCTGACTGCAGTATTTCCTTACGGTGGTCGATTATTGGCGAAACTCATGGCTAATAAAACATACACCCTTGTAAGGTGTAAAACAGCTCGGTTCCTAGGTAACTGCAAAAAACATAATAATAACATAGTCTTATCAAGATACGCATATTAACATCAAGTCAACGAAATAGTAAATCTATAAGATGCTGATTATGTCGCTGACCCTAAGAAACCTATTCGATTCTAGGACTTATTATTTACGATGATGTTTTCGGAATCTCACGTTTTTATTTTCCTGGTCAGCGGACACTTTCTGTATCCGCGTTCACGACACAAGTTATTAAAGGCGGTTATCACAGACTGAAGATCATACATTTGGTCAAGATTGGTGATGGGTCCAACTTCTGGCAGCTTCACATACATATTTGTTAAGGTAAGCGACTTTCCGTTTCAACACGTTTTCGTGCTCAAGATGTCTACGCTGAGTTTACTTCAATCTGGACTACCAATCCTTTCTGTAAAGGAAACACCTATGTGGAATCGAACACCCGTCACTCATAACTGTACATTCCTTTTTTGTACCTGATTAATTTTCACTAAAAGTGGAACGATTCTTCAGGTTTAACTGGCTTTAATTATTTTCTTCCTTAAAGTTGATTCTTTATTTTCAACTTTAGGGCAGCTGAAAAGGCAGATGAGTCGACACCTGATAGCCGAACATAGCACTGGAAAATCGTACCTCTCCAACATGGTGTTGGGTGACCCGCTAGCAGCCTCCCTTAGGTATTTTTGTTTCATTTGCTTACCCTCCATTCTCTTACAAGCTCTGACACAAAGGACATGTTCATTAAGTCATGAGCGACAAATAGTAGAAGGTGAATGCTACGAGATAGGACAAAAACCTAATAAGGTATGTGATATTCATGAAGTAAGGCCGAATTCTGAGCGGGCGTTGAGATCATCGATTGAAAGTCAAACACTAAACGAGTTAGTAATTCTCCTCTATGCTGAAGAAACCGAAATGATATGTTATTGATCTATAAGTTGGTCGAACCGACACTCCCAAGGAAGTCGATTCTAGGAGGAAGCTGATGTAACAACTTAAGCTGACTGATTAGTAGTTGGCCGCAAACATCTTAGTAATGTCTAGACATTATAGCTCAAATATTTTGAACAGGCATTATATTTCCTACTATTTTATATTGGATGTTGAAAGGCCGTTTAGAAAAATAACCCCGCGTTTCAACTGTTCTGTTCAACAATCTAATTAAACACCTTTCAATTACTAGTCTGGTTTCTTCTATCGATAGAACGTTGAGTGAGAAGTACATAGATATCACACTACTATCAGTGCCAGGAAAACTTTTCAGTAGAGTATTGTTGAACCGGATGAAAGATCTGATAGACGCCCAGCTTTGCATTCAGCTGACCGAATTCCGTAGGGGCCGATCGTACACAGACCAAACCACGACATTACGAATCATTTTTGAGGAATCAGTTGAGTGAAGTGTGTCACCACATGTCAGCTTCCTAGACTTAGAGAGAGCACATGAAAATTTGGCGCTATGGTTTATCTGAGAAGATCGTCAACATCATCCGGAATTCATATGACGGAATGTACTGCGAAGTTGTGCGTGGAGGATAGCTGGCGGATAGATTGCAAGTGAGGACCGAAGTCAGACAAGGCTGCTTACTCTTACCCTTTCCTTTTTTCCGGCGGCTGACAGGATTATGAAGACCTGTAGATCTGATGGGAAGCAGGGAATAAAATGGACATATTGGATGCAACTAGACGATTCGAACTTCACAGGTGACCTGGCCATCCTATCCTATATACACTAAAAAATGCAGGCCGAGACCACTGCAGCAGCAGCCTCTGCACCAGTAGGCCCCAACATACACAAGGGAAAAAGCAAGATCCTCAAATACAACACTGAAAGCACCAACCCAATCACACTTGATGGAGAATCTCTGGAAGAGATGGAAACGTTCACGTATCTGGACGGCATCATCGATGAACAAGGAGGATCTGATGCAGATGTGAGGGCGAGGACAGCATTTGTCAAGTCGAAGAACATATGGAATTCAAAATAACCGACAACCAATATCCAAGTCACAATCTTCAATACGAACGTCAAAACAGTTCTACTGTGCGAAACTGAAACCTGGATAACAACCTTATAACCATCTTCAGAAACGTACTAGTATTTTTAAACAGTTGTCTACACAGGATACTTGATGTCCGTTGGTCGGATACCATTAGGAACAGCATACTATGGGAGAGAACACACCAGCTTCCAATTGAAGAGGAAATTAAGAAAAGACATTGGAAGTGGATAGGACACACATTTAGGAAATCATCAAACTGCATCAAGAGGTGAGCGGTAACTTGGAATCCTGAAGAGAGACGGAGAAGACCAAGGAACATACTGTACCGGAAATTGGAAGTAGACACCAAAAGGACGAATAACAACTGGGAAGAACTGAAAAGAACTGTTCAGGATAGAGTTGGATTGATAATGGTAGTGAGCTGTCTATGCTACTCCACGAAGGGTAATTTACGTTTGTAAGTTAGATAATAACTGTTCATTGCGCTCTGAAATAGCCGTTGCTATGTCTCAATGAAATAACGATTCTAAGTGCTCGGGTTAAAATATGTAAATTGATGTAACAGGACATATTGAAAGACTTGATAGCATATGAAGACTACAGGGACTAACATTTTGGAACACTGCGATTAGGGAGCTGTCCTAACACCTCCCTGTAATAAGATTTCCTGCTGTGCCCACTTGTAACTTGATAACTGGCTTGCGGTAGCACTTTATTTTTTTGTCGTATTCATTGTCCAAACCTGTATTCATTTGTTGCTTGCAGTGTTCTTGGACATAGTATCTGAAGTATCTATGACTACCCCAAATGACATATTCATTTGGCCACCTCTGGTGTTCATCGTTTTTATATCTTTCTGTGTTCTTCGTATGTCCAATGCACGGTTCGAAAGCTCCTCGGACTTTACTTAAACCTCTCCCAGATCTCTGGACAAATATTCGTGATTTCCATTTACTCTGATCCGCTATGATTTGATAAGTACTTTATTCCACACGTAAAAACTGTGAATAGTGCTGCTCTTTCTGTGGTTATCTACCTTTTTGGGCGTTAGTATGACGTCGAAAATTGTCTAGTTGCTTCTTTCAACCATGACTTCGTCTGGTAACTTCCCGCCTGGCACAAAAGGGTTGGGGGTATTTCGACAAAATGTTAAAAACTTAGTTATTGCTTGACTCTGTGTCCTGTCGTTTCCTCCTTTAAGCAGTGCCCTCGTGAAGGTATCCACGAAGCATTCTGGTTGCCCGTTAGTGGCGAGCATAAGTCAGTTGGTGGAATTACGGTCTAGTTCGGTATTAGTATATTTATCTTTGTTACTATAATGACAGACCTGATCCCAAACTCTTAGGTTTGTCATGATGTGACTACCTAATTTATAATATCTTAAGTGAAAGTTACGTCGCCCAAACTTACTGGTTCTATGGCGAAAATCAGCAATATGCTGTTTGTCACCTCTAAATAACACATTTCGGCTGGGATGAAATATTATATTAGTGTGGGAAGCTATGAGTTACACAAAAGACCACGACTGCAAGGATGAGCCGTGCAATACCGAGCAGTCGTTCCCACTTTCACCATCTTGAACATTTCCTAGGTGTCACACGTTGAATGTGAATCTTTCCAGTGATTATATGCACGGCTTCAAAGATCATGCGGTTAAGAACCAATACCACTATATGTTCTTGAATTCACATCACAGAACTGTTTGAACTGGTGCCATTAACAACTATTAAGGTCTCTAACACTATGAAATAGCTAAACACGGCAAAGAACTTATCGATTGTTTCTTTGGCTGCACAGTTCGGACACTTCGTAAATGCATCTGTTGAGTTATAGCCTACTAATAATAGACTTAGTTCTAAGATGGTAGACTTGTCATGATGTAACCGCCTAATCTATAAGATCCTACGTGGAAGTCACAATATTATCTAAACCAACTCATCGTGTCGTAACAATAATCAATATATGATGAAGAACAGACTTCAGCAAGAGATAGAACAACGTATTTAATATGAATAAAAGGTATGTGTTAACACTCAATAATGACCACGCCTGCAAGGCTGAGCAATGTAATCCAGTGTATTCGAAATAATTCAATTCCTTGTTCCCGCTTTCTCTATCGTTGGGTTTTTCTGCGCGATAAATGTTAAATATCTATTTTCCCAGTTGTTACGTGTTCAGCTCTGAGGATTGTGTAGTTAGGGCTCAGTGACACTACACATCCACACCAACTAGAGACATTTTTCTTCAGATGGGACCAGAGAAAAATACACGGAGTATATCTCAGGGCCTAGCACGCTTGAGCTACTGCTGTGGTTCACACTGCAAAGGGCTTTTATCAGCTTGCAGGCAAGACATTTACCTGTAGTGTCTTCGATTGCTTTGTCCAATGAAGGGCAATATGCACAACTCCGAGCGAACATATTCTTCCTATTGATCATAGTGTTGTAGAATTATGGTCTACTATGATATTAGTACTGCTTTAATAATAGACCTAATCCTAAAATTGTAGATTAGTCATGATATAACTGCCTAATCTATAAGATCTTACGTGGAAGTCACATCATCGTCTACACCAACTCATTGTATCGTAACAACTACGAATACATGATGAAGAACAAGCCTAGGCTAGAGAAAGAACAATATATTTCATATGAATAAGAAATGTGAGGTAGTATTCAGCAGGGATCATGCCTGCATGGCCGAGCCATGCCATTCGATCAACTCCAATTCATTCAATACATTCTTCCCGCCTTCTCCATCGTTAGGTATTTCTCCGCGTTAAATACTGAATATCTATTGTCCGAGTAGTCTTGTAGAACTATGGTCTACTATGATATTAGTACTGCTCTAATAATAGACCTAATCCTGAAATTGTAGATTTGTCATGATATAACTGCCTAATCTATGAGATCTTACGTGGAAGTCACATCATCGGCTACATCAACTCACTGTATCGTATCAATTACCAGTACATTATGTAGAACAAGGTTAGGCTAGAGAAGGGACAATATATTTAATATGAATAGAAGATATAAGGTAACATTCAGCAGAGACCACGCCTGCATGGCCGAGCCACGCCACTCGATCAACTCCAGTCCATTCAATTCATTCTCCGCGCCTTATCCATTGTTAGGTATTTCCCCGAGTTAAATATTGAATATCTATTTTCTGAGTAGTCTCGTGTTCACAGCTTTGTGGATTGTGTGGCTACTGTCCAATGCCACTACACTACTCTCCCACCAGAATCAACGTGATGTTGGTTCGATACCAAATTGGATGGGATCGTCGGGCGCCGGAGGTTACCAAGGATAATAAGGATCCTCCGGGTATTGATAAGCTGAAAGATAAATCAAAAAGACGGCAGCATCTGGTCGGGAAATACATGTAATAATCTTAAAATATCTGCTTTCATGATTAACACGCTTAAAATGGAAATTTGGTTGAAGATTATTTGAACTATAAAAAAATGGGATTACAATAATAATAATAAAACGATGAGTGTTAATAGCCGTTGGTTAATAATTTAACGTATAGGTAGTATTTTGTGTTTAGAAATATTAAAGTAATGAATTGTAGAAATGTTAATATCGGTATTAGTTTTGGTTTAAATTATGAAATCAATTTACAATTATGCCGGTATGTTGTCCATATGAGTTGATTTCCAATTGCATATGTATTAGTAGGCTTGTAACAGCTCAGGTTGGTTGGTTAAGAGTTGACCCCAAACAACCAAGCTTATACCAAAACAGTATTGTTCAAGTATTCATTCACTTCCTTATTTTTCATAAGCGTTATATTCCCTATTATCTTGAATGTTGAGAGCCTTTGTTTGTCTGAACAGATAATCCCACGCTCCACTGTGACTGCGCGAAGATCGAAATAAAGACCTATTCACTACTTCTCTGGTTTCTTCTATCAATAGCACGAGGGTTACCTTAAGGCACGAAACTGGTCAGCCCTTTTTGAACACAAATTTAACCTCATTTCTGTTATTAACATTTTTTTACTTAATCGTAAAAGTAGACCTGATTATCCGTAAACTAATTTGAGTATATAACTAGTTTATTCCGTATTATCTTAAGTTATTCGTGTTATAGTAACCACTTTTTGTGCTAACTTTATTGCTATATTTGTCACATACCTCATGTCAGACTCAATAGAAACCCATAATCTGGAGGATTTGTCACCAGTGGAGATAGACACTGTTATGACTACGAAATCCCGACTTCCAGAATTTGATCGTAGTGATCCTGAGTTGTGGTTTGCTCAACTAGAGCATTATTTCACGAGACACAATATCAAATCTGAAGGGATTCGCTTTAGAGACTTGTGTTCTATCCTTCCTCCTTCAGTCGCCAAAGAAGTCCGTGACTTGATTTTAAGTCCACCATCACCACAACCATACACCATCTTAAGACGAGAGATAATGAACCGTTTATCATTATCAGATAGTCAAAGAATCCAAAGACTTTTTCAAGGTGAAACACTAGGTGATCGGTCGCCGTCACAGTTTTTACGTCACCTCCAAGTCTTAGTGGGTGATAACACAGTGGGTGAAGCAGTCCTAAAACAAGGATGGATACAAGCTCTCCCATGCTACGTCCAACACTGTTTGGATGCACAGGATCCTGAAACCTCATTATCTCATTTAGCGCGTATAGCCGACAGAATAATGGAAAGAGGTCCTCCAACTGGATCAGGCACAATAAATCACACACAAAAAGTAGAATCAGCAAAAGACCCCGTAATAGAAGGACTCATTGCGAGTGTTAAGAGTCTCACTGAGGCTGTCACCAGAATGCAAATGGGTCATAGAAACAGGAGCAGGTCACCACAACGACCACGATCCAAGTCACAAATGTCCAGACAATCTGGGCAGTTTTGTTGGTACCACTGGAAGTTTGGTGTCAACTCAACCAAGTGCATGCAACCATGCGCCTGGCCTAAGCATAATTCTAAGACAGCGGGAAACGAGTAACCCCTCCCCAGGTCGCGACGACTGAGGAGGGGCGCCTAAACAGTCGCTTGTTTTATGTTAGAGACAGAAACTCGGGCTTGAATTTCTTGGTGGATACTGGCGCTGCTCTTAGCATCATCCCTCGAAATAAAACTGAGATTAGTCGAGAAACATCATCAATTACACTTCAAGCTGCAAATAAAACTAAAATTGCGACATTTGGGCAGAAAACTTTAACCCTAGATTTGGGGTTCAGGAGGCAATTCCCTTGGGTTTTCACGGTAGCCGACCTAGATCTGGCAATACTGGGGATGGACTTTCTTGAGAGATACGAATTTCTAGTTGACACCAAGAAACGGCGATTAACACTAAAAGAAACTTCGTATTACACAAAAGGCAAAGAAAGTCACATCAGCTCTCTTAACTTGATTCAAACTCCCCCAGTAACAACAGCGAAATTCCAAGATATACTCGCGGAATTTCCAAACTTAACTAAACCAAACCCACAGCCTTCTAAAGACAAACTAAAAGTGAGTCACACTATCAAAACCGAAGGTGCACCGGTGTTTGCAAAACCCAGGAGACTAGCACCAGATAAGCTCAAAACCGCTAGGGCCGAGTTTGATTATATGCTACAACTGGGTATCATCCGTCCCTCTGATAGTCAATGGGCATCCCCTTTGCATATGGTCCCAAAGAAGAATGAAGGTGACTGGCGACCGTGCGGGGATTACAGAGCCCTAAACCGTCAAACCGTACCTGATAGGTACCCAATACCTCATATCCAAGATTTCACCAACGGTTTACAGGGTATGAACATATTCACTAAAATTGACTTAGTCAGGGCATATCACAATATCCCGGTGGCTGATGAAGATATTCCCAAGACAGCTATTACTACACCCTTTGGCTTATTCGAGTTTGTACGCATGCCATTCGGCCTGAGAAACGCGGCACAGACATTTCAAAGATTCATAGATAACCTACTTCGAGATATGCCATTTGCACAGGGGTATATAGACGACTTGTTAATTGCCAGCCCCGATTTGCAATCACACGAACAGCATGTACAAGCAGTGTTGAAAAGACTGGATGAACATGGAATAAACATACATCAAAGTAAGTGTGTTTTCGGTGTTCAAACTTTAGAATTTCTCGGTCACACAATAAGCCCAGAAGGGATTAAACCTATAAAAAAAGAAGTGGATACTATCAAACAATACCCCGTACCTAGTTCTCTAACACAACTGAGAAGTTTTCTAGGCCTAATTAACTTCTATCGCAGATTCATACCAGGTTGTGCACAATTAATGCAACCTTTGACAGATTCACTTAAAGGAAAACCAAAAGAATTCAAACTGTCTTCTGACGCCATCGAAGCTATTAAACAGCTTAAAGATAAACTGGCTCAAGCAGCCACGTTGATATATCCGAATTCTCTTTCCCCACTTGCTTTGATGGTGGATGCTTCAGATAAAGCAGTAGGCGGTACCCTTAACCAACTGGTTAAAAACGCCTGGAAACCAATTGCTTTTTTCTCGAAAAGACTCGCTCCAGCCGAAACAAGGTATTCTACCTTCGGGCGAGAACTTCTTGCAATCTACCTGACCATTAAACACTTCCGACACATGTTAGAAGGTAGGGAATTTATAGTCTTTACGGATCATAAACCACTGACGAATGCATTGAAAGCGAGAGCCGATAAATACTCACCTCGAGAAGTCCGACACCTTGACTATATATCACAGTTCACAAGCGATATCCGACATGTCAAAGGTCAGGACAATCAGGCGGCAGATGCTTTATCCAGACTAGAAATGAACGTGCTACAGCAGTCTACAGTAAACTTCGAGACGTTAAGACACGAACAAGAGCAGGACCTAGAATTGCAAAACCTACTTAAAACAAACAATTCAAGTCTTAATTTAAAACAATTCCCATCACCTATCGATGGTATTCTAATTTATTGTGACACGACCAAGGCAATGCCGCGACCTTTCGTTCCCAAAAATATGCGAAAGTTGATATATAATAACTTTCATTCTTTGTCTCATCCTGGCGCGAAAGCTTCAACAAAACTAATCAATGCCAGATATATATGGCCGAATTTACAGAAGGATGTACACAAATGGGTTAGAGAGTGTTCAGCATGTCAACAATCAAAGATTAATCGTCACACAAATTCACCCATAGGTGTTTTCTCGCAACCAGATGCACGTTTTGCCCATGTGCATATCGACTTGGTAGGTCCTTTACCTCGTTCAAACGGTTTTAATTATCTTTTTACATGCATAGATCGATTTACCAGATTCCCTATAGCCATCCCGATAGCGGACATCACAGCGGAAACAGTAGCCAAAGTTTTCATGCAGAACTGGGTAACCATTTTTGGTACACCCATAACAATAACGACGGATAGAGGAGCGCAATTCGAATCCGAACTATTTAATAACTTGGCTAAACTTCTAGGCTCCAATAGGATACGCTGCACTGCATATCATCCTCAGGCTAATGGGATGGTAGAACGTTTTCACCGTCAGCTAAAAACCGCCCTTATATCTCACTCAAACCCCAATCAGTGGACAGAATTCCTACCATTAGTTATGTTGGGAATACGAACATCTGTCAAAACTGACGCACAGTGTTCAGCTGCGGAACTGGTTTTCGGAACAACTCTGCGACTACCAGGTGAATTTATTAACCCCAATACTAACAGTCAAAAACTTAATTTAGGAAACTACGTAGATCAACTACGGGACCACATGTCCAAACTTAAGCCAATTAATACTCGCGAACAATCGCGTGCCGTATATGTACCTAAAGACCTAAGCAATTGCACGCACGTCTGGATAAGATGTGACAAAATAAAAGCACCACTTAGCCCTCCATTTGAAGGTCCTTTCAAAGTCGTCTCAAGAAAATCTAAATATTTCGTGATAGAAAAACATGGAAACATCGACACAGTAAGTATTGATAGGCTAAAGCCGGCTTATCTAGATCATGAACCACCATACGTGTTGTTAGATCGTTTAACTGACAAATCCATTACGGAATCGAAATGCAAAAACGATAAATCTTTACAAATGACTAAAACGGTTCGCTGGGCACATCCGATTAGCCAATCAAGGATGTTGACAGTTTCAGCTGCAGGATAAAATCTAACCACGTAGCTAATCAGACCCTTCATCTACTTAAAAATAACTTTTCTCCTCATTCCGCCTCACCTACAACTCCCCAGACCTTTTGCCTTTGATATATAAGTGTTATGTTAAATTTTTTTTAAATACTGGACACATAAGCTAGGTATTCCGAAACGATGGCTGCGGATTTTAATCAAACTCATACAACTAACACTGGCAAATACAACGAATTCAAAAAGCAACCCAGGCGAGTTTTATAATTTCTTTTTCTGGTTAATTAACTATGTTGGCTGTACTTCTTATATATCTATATACAGTTTTCACGTAGACTGGCTATACATATATACCATATGAACTACTTCTAAAAGTTTTCGGTCGAAGATGTGTTTAGTAGCTTGATACGCTTAATACTACTATTAATAAGTGGTTTTCTAGACAAAACATTTTGGATTAAACTATGGTCAAATACTTAATAAAGTTCTCATCATTTTTTTTCATGTTTAGGAAACTTACATAATGACTTAACCAGTTTTCCTACAGCATGCTTTTTAGTGTGATCATATAACCCATCATTATTGGCAATATTCAAAATTTTTTTTAAATTTCTGACATTTAAGAATCAATAACCGTGAAGATATAGTACAGTGCGTTACTGTAAGGTTACTATGTTAGCCGCATTGATTCCACATACCTAATTTTAAACACAACTTATAAGGGAACTGTTAAGTAATCACAACATTGAACTAATATGAATATCACAGCTATGCTAACGTTAAACCAATTATTATTAGTGGTCCATACAAAATCCTGGAACTTAACACTAGCGTTATAAAAAACGTGTTATGTCAATAACTTATATATATATATACCTTTTTTTTCTCGTTGGTTTAATTATAACGTAAAATGGAAATCTACCACACTTGTAGTTTTTTTTTCTATAGCATTATTATTAATAAAAACAAAGAACTTGTACTATTCCAATATGGCACTTTGACATATCAATCCGTCCTCCTGTTATCTTTCTCTCATATCTGAGCAACATATGGCCAACAAACATCGTATTGAAGGGGGTTTTGGTGAACGAAAACGCTAGCCCCACACGTACTCGAACCTCTGCCCTCCTGGATGCTAGACCGTGTGCCTAGCCATTAGACCACATCAAACCACGGGCGAATGACTGCAATCTTTCCTTTTACCGATTAATCGTATATAATACTAATGAGTAATAGGACTTACACATTTCTAAGGTGCAGACAAATTCGTTACTTGGATGAATTGACGAAATATTGTTTCAATATATCATACATACTTAGATCAAACCAGAAAAGAGTATTTGACACAATTGTACTTAATCCTCAGAATCTACACAATTTTTTTCTCCTCCTTAACCGTATATTCTTTTCCGTTTTGTGGAGTACAACTATGCACCCTTGGTTACGTACCTGGTTATAAAAGGCGGTCGTCATAGGCCCAAGGTCATACATTTGATCGGGTTTGACAATGAGTCCAACTTCTAGCAAGTTCACCCTCTTACATATATGCATTACAAAAGAGTATTTTTTTTGTTTTCATGGTTTTTCGTGCACAAGATATCTACACTATGTCTATTTTCTTCCAGAATACCAATCCTTTCTGGAGGCCAATCACTTACGTGGAACCGAACAATTATAAATTATATTTTTGTATTTCCATTTTGTATCTTATTATTTTTATGCAGGCAGTGGAGCAGTTCTTCAGGTGTGATTGGTTTTCACCATTACCTTTGAAGTAGATTCTTCTTTACTTTTTACTTGAGGGCGACTAAAGAGGCAGGTGAGTAAACACCTGATAGCCGGTCTGAGCATGGAAAAATCGTACCTCACCAACATGGTGTTGGGTAGCCCGCTCGCGGCACTTCCTCAGATATTCTTATTCCACATTCTCACACTCTTTCTCTTGAAAGCACGCAGTAAACCGTCAGCGATAGTTGTAGAATAGATCACATGCTACAAAATAAGATGACAAGCTAGTAAATGAGGAGACATCCATGGACTATCGTTGACAGCGTTAGTCGTCACTGATTGTAAGTCAAATAGTGAGCGAGTTGATAATTTTCCCTTGGAATGAGAAATAGAACTAAGGTGTTTTCGATAGATAGGTTAATCGAACCGACGTTCCTACGGAAGTCGATTCTAGGGGGAAGCTAATGTAACAGCTCAGGTTGGTTGGTTAAGAGTTGACCCCAAACAACCAAGCTTATACCAAAACAGTATTGTTCAAGTATTCATTCACTTCCTTATTTTTCATAAGCGTTATATTCCCTATTATCTTGAATGTTGAGAGCCTTTGTTTGTCTGAACAGATAATCCCACGCTCCACTGTGACTGCGCGAAGATCGAAATAAAGACCTATTCACTACTTCTCTGGTTTCTTCTATCAATAGCACGAGGGTTACCTTAAGGCACGAAAGGCTAACTGAATGAACAAAAATATTACCGCGGAGAATTCCAACTAGTGTTCCAGTTAGTTTGATACGCTTTATTTAGTTACGGGGAGATTTTCTCAACCTCATTTTTACTTGACCGTGATAGAATTTAGTAATACTACTAATACACATGAATGTTTATCAAAACAATTTAAATACGTGAGTGGTGATTGTATGAATTTTGGACAGATAGCTAGGAACAAATCGTTAAACATGAGTGTATTCGTAAGAGACATGCTCTGGACTCAATGTTCTGATCTGCGGCAGACTATTTATTTGTATTTATACTTGCCGGCTGATTGGGCATACAAGTTAGTTGCAAGTATGCAGTTTATTATAAGGCGGAATACGATTTAATTGAGATATAGTGGTTATAAGTTATTAAAATCAGCTAAGCCTATGTGTCATATTACGAAGTGATGTGGTGCTGCAAGATGTATTTAGCTAAATAAGTTTTTACAAGATGATTAATAGTGAGTGATGCTCATGTGATTATTAGGGAGAACATAAGTTGTAACCAGGGGGAGTACACTCCCAACTCATGTCTATGATAATGGCTTGAACCTTAGTCAGTGTTGGGGTAAATTCGACATTGATGTTTTCAGTTTGCAGGAGGTTTGCTCGACTGCTTATACTGATTATTTGCATGCATGGTTGTGTCGCTAGACCATCAATTAGACTGACAAGGTTTTGAGATATTTACTGAATGAGCAACTGATAGAGAAACATACTGTAATCATCTGTAGTGAATGAAGATAAAAGAAAAGCAACACTAGTGATAATTATAAGTAAATTCGCTGACCGATTTTGTTAATAGTTTCATTAATTTTATCAATCATATTACGTGATTGTCAAGTCATGACAATGCTTTATGACGATATCCTGAAACTATTATGTTTAACTAGTTATAGTGTTGAATGAGGATTAGTCAGTAGAAAAATAGATATTGTTGCTTTAGGTGATTTGAAATTATCAGAAATTTATAACGTTAAAGAATCCGAGACGCCTAATTTAATTATAAATTTCAATTCAGAAATATTCGTTTAGTGTTAATTCTAGTAGGCTACGGAGTTTTGATTTTAAACGTTTGTTTAGCCAACAGCCACCTAGGGATTTAGTTATTTTACTAGTGCAGTTAATAGTACCTAAATTTTTAATCTTATTATCTAAACTATGTTCGCATTTTAGGCTGCTAATATGATAAATCAATCCATAAACCCAAATACGATTAGCAACAACGACTATGATGGGTTTATTGATAAATGTTAAAGGCGATTGAGATGATTCCTAAATTTAGAAGACATGAAGATATAGTGTAACGTATGTATGGACCAGGTTAACATGCAGGTTGTTGACGTATATGATGATTTAAAAATAATGAACATGACCAGAAAATAATTTTAAAGTTTAGACTGCTTGTGAAACTTCAGGCAGGAATATGATGCGTTATAAACGTTCCATAAAGAGTTACTGCATTTAGCCTAGGGACACTTACAAATATATAGCAAAAGGAACCGGAAAACATATACATGTTAAGTAAAAAAATCATTAAGTAAAATAGTTGAACTCGCCTGGATTATTTTTGAAAATTAGATTATTCAGTGGACGACATATATAACGCCATTCGTGAGGAGTAGTAATGATCCAAAAGTATCCAGAATAAAACATGCAGTATGGCAATTAATCCCAGGGTGCTTGATGCTGTTGACGTTTTTGCCACTCGCTCGGATTAGAACAACCGAATGAATTCAGATAATTGTGCGGTCACCATTGAACGAGCCATCTAAAATGACCTTATGATTGCAGAAAACTTATGGCTGAAACTCACCGTATGTTTTTAGAGAAGTGTCATCCTTGTTGTTTGGCAATGGAACTCGAAAATTTGAAATTAGGCAGGCAGTGGTAGGAAGAAAAGATATTACAGGATAGTGTATAGTTTAAAACAGGATGAGGTAATAAGATAAGGAACACTGAATATTAGATCCAGGTAACTATTTAGTCCTTGCTGCATTGTTAGTCAATGTATATTTGCGTTATTTACTGGTCATATTTGCTAGAGCTTGATGCTTAAACAAGCCTATGTCGCTGAAGCATGTAAATGCTATTAAAGCTTGTTAACGAACCATCAAAGCTAATTAGTTAATATAGACGACCAGTTTTTATTATCGAATGAGCTAGTAAGTTATGTGAACTAATAGATATAACATTACGATAATATATGTGACCATTAATCAAAGGACTATTAGAATAGTGGGTTTACAAAAATAAAATCCGATTGAGAAGGTTAAGGTGGAAATAAGAATTAACAATAATAGGTTGCGTTTCTTTAGTTGGGCTCACCAATGTAGAACTATGGTCTACTATGATATTAGTACTGCTCTAATAATAGACCTAATCCTGAAATTGTAGATTTGTCATGATATAACTGCCTAATCTATGAGATCTTACGTGGAAGTCACATCATCGGCTACATCAACTCACTGTATCGTATCAATTACCAGTACATTATGTAGAACAAGGTTAGGCTAGAGAAGGGACAATATATTTAATATGAATAGAAGATATAAGGTAACATTCAGCAGAGACCACGCCTGCATGGCCGAGCCACGCCACTCGATCAACTCCAGTCCATTCAATTCATTCTCCGCGCCTTATCCATTGTTAGGTTAAATATTGAATATCTATTTTCTGAGTAGTCTCGTGTTCACAGCTTTGTGGATTGTGTGGCTATTGTCCAATGCCACTACAGTCTCATGTTCAGCTTTGAGGATTGTGTGATTATGGTCCAATGCCACTACAGGGTAACCACTGTAAAATTGCATAATAATATTTTGGCGGTGTAATTCAGAAATAACACTTCGGCTACTGAACAAAACATATGATTCGACAATCATTATTAAGCCGCGTCGACGAAAGTACTTCGATGTTTTTTCTCAAAGTGATAGCTTGGCCATCTAGTTAGAAGATAGTTGCTAATTCTTCTGCCAGTTCCAGTGGTTCCTTCAATGACTTCGTGAGTGACTGGTAGTCCATTGATTGCATCATTCACTGCTTGACAAACGTTTTCAGTTTCTACGTTCGACGCAACAATGTCTTCTGACGTTTCTATCTTGAAACCTGTTAGTCTCGTTAAGGCACCAGTTTGACCGAAAGCTGTGGCAGACTGACGCTTGACTTTGAAATCACAGACCAGAAATGTGATTGCCCATCGTTTTAGTCGGTTAGCTATGTAAACTGGGGTCCTTTTTCTTGACTGAAATACGGATGACAATGGCTTATGGTTTGTTAATAGAGTGAATTGCCTTCCAAATATCATTTTTTGGAAATTTTCACAGCAACAATGATTTTCTGGGCTTCGTTCCCAATTTGCCTGTAGTTGCACTCTATCATTTTCAGTGGCCTAGATGCATTAGTGATCCTTTCAGATCCATCGGGAAGGATCTGGTAGATGACTGCTCCAATGTCATGACTTGAAGCGTCCGAAGCAACCACAGTAGACAAGGAAGGACCATAATACGTAAGAAAGTCGGAAGCTAGGAGTTACTTAACTTTTTCGAGAGCATGAAGTGGATTGTCTCCAACAAGTTCTACGGCCTCATGTACGAATCACCCTCATAAACCTTTATAAATAAAAATTAATGTTATATGAATTTGGAAGGCAACACAAAGTGACGACTACAGCCCACTATCGAAAAGCATAAATGAATAGGCTCGAGCACACCAAGAAAATACAAGTAGAAATGCAACAAAAGCAGACAAGCACATACAGAGGCGAATTGAGAATCAAACAAAGAATCAAATGAAGTCGAATATATTAAAAAGAGTCAACCATATATACACATGTATGTGGGAAAGCGAATGATTCGTTGAGCGATTGAAGTAACTAACATTTAGTCCAAAAAATAGGATGTCTGCGTAGACTGTCTTATGTGATAGAACACACATTCATAAAGACGTGATAATAAACAACACAAATATATACAGGTAGTTGAATAATTCGGCTAAACGGCCTGATAAAACTGAACAGAAGCAGGCTTAAATATGGAAGAGTTGCTATAAGCTTCTTGGTAGTCTACAGACCGGATCCATTTAGCGTTATCTACCAGTAATATGTTCAATGGAACACGTAGAAGGTTGAGATCAGTTAAGAAGGTGTGATGTTTGTATAAACCAGTGATTCCGTTGTACTTGATGACGCCCTGATTTCGAATTTCAAATGCAATACGTTTGTTTGTGCTCACCTACTTCTTTTGGTTTTAATTGCGCTATTTCTAGGACTCCTAGTTCGTATAATAATTCAACTACTTCTAATCATCACAGAAAGCCACGTAATAACTAACCATTCTCCAGAAAAATCGTAGAGTAGGAATATCCATTGGTTTGAGCATGGCCTTTACAGCTTCAATGTTCTATGAATTTGTTTGTCGTCTGTCTTAATCTATTATGAAATCGAGATAACGTACCTGCTGTACACAAAAGTCGCACTTTTTTGTGTAGAGCCGAAAACCATGTTCGGTTATGCGTTATAGCACTCGGTCAGTTTCCTTTTGTGAGTTCATTTTGTCTACCCCCATGATTATGATACTAACAAGATAAGCTGCCGCTATAGGAACAACTTGTAATATTGTGTCCATAATTTGCTGGAATATAGCGGGTCCTGTTTTGACTTCAGAAAAAATCTTTGTGTGCAATGATATTTGGGAGGTCTTTGTGCTCATCAGCTTCTGGAATCTGGTAATTAGGTTCCAGATAAACCCAACTTTGTCGCCTTAATAATGTAAGATCCATTTTGAAGGTTTTGTGTGTTGGTGAAAATCCCTCCATGTATATACTTGTACTTTGTTCCTATTGATCCCCTTAGTTGTACATTGTTGTATTTTGATTACATTTGAATTGTTAATACTTGTATTTTTGTTATAGTTTTTGTTTTT